TACACACACAACGGCAGGAGCAGTAGTATCAGCGACAACACGCAGCAACAGCAACAGTTATTAGCGGTAGCAGCAGTAGCTAGCCGAGGAAGTAGCGGCGGTATCTCGTCACATCCTACCTCGTTCCGTTCCCGTTGTGCCAACGAAGCGAGAACTGCTTGCGCGGATTGCCTCTCAGCCCGGTGAAAGCGACAGCGAGCGAGTGCTCGCTATGCTCGCTATGCTCGCTATGCTCTTCCGCGCTCGCGGATCAAATTGTAGACGTTTAATTATACCGTGCGTAAGCTGTGTGCCCTGTTTTGTTTTTCACCAGTCGATCGCGGTACGCGGATGCACTACGATGACGCGGTAGTTTGATCATGACGGTACGACGATCGGTGTGACGAAAAATGATCAGCTAGTGAGAACGAATTCTCGACGATCATGTGGGACTTTCCTGTAAATTCGTCCTTCAAAGCCAGTAGGACGAGATGGTCCTACGAATGGTACTCGTCGTCCGAGAATCAGACGCAAAGTCAAGACACACTCTCCAGGATGCGTTCTTCCGTAACGGCGCAAGACGATGCCGCGGCGCAACAGCGTGCAACGAGCTATCGCCAACAACGATCTTCTTGGCAACAGGATAGCCGTTCACCATCATGGTACACAACGCACGTCGATTTTCTCTTTTTGACCTTCGCTTTCTTGCAGCTATCGCCGATATTGCAAGAGCCTTCTTTGCTTCTTTATGAACGACGCGACATTCTAAAAGATATCATCAGGATAACATTTTTCAAAACGTTTGCCTGTCATGCCTTTTGTACGATTTCATGTGATCAGATTTCATGTACTCCCAGCTTTGCGTTGTTCCTTGGGATGATTATGGAATGACTATCGGAAATGCAAAGAAATCGTCGTAAATGGGAAACGTCGGGACAAGCCGAAGAGAGTGTAATCTATGTTTTATCGATTTATCGTTCGCGCGAATTGTCGACTCGCGAATTATACGACTTTCTCGCGTGAGGAAAAAACCTGAGGAAAAAAGTGGTACTGGTGCGATATGTACGTACCGCATGCACCGCCCACGATTCAGACCGGCTGCAATATATATTCGCTCGGTTACTTTATTAATTTTATTGACTCTTTAGAAATAAGAGGCTTCTACTCATGCGGATATATTTTCTTTATTTCAATTATTCCAATTTTTTAAATTTATTTTATGTATCTGTAGCAAAATAATTATAAAATAATCACTGTAAAAACTTGGCACTTTTCTTCACATAGATCGATAGAACAATTCTTTCTCTTTTTCTCGAGGTAACGTAACAAAGAAGATAAAAGAGAGAATAATTGCAGACGATTGAAGGAATTAATCGATTAAAACGCAAAAATCAATCTTGTATCTTGTACTTACAGCGAAGTGAGCATATCATCCGCCCGCGCGTCGGTGATGGTGTATGACGACGTGAACAAAAAATGGATACCGAGTGGTAGCTCGTCCGGTCTGTCCAAGGTCCAGCTCTATCACCATCAGGTGAACAATACGTTCCGTGTGGTCGGTAGGAAGTTGCAGGACCACGAGATTGTCATCAACTGCGCGATCCTCAAGGGACTCAAGTATAATCAGGCCACGGTCACGTTTCACCAATGGCGAGATAACAAGCAAGTCTACGGGCTTAACTTCTCCAGTAAGGACGACGCCGATGCCTTCGCACGGGCAATGCTCCAGGCACTCGATGTAATTTATAATGTTTCTTTCATCTTACAGTGATTATTTTACATTATTTTACATTATTAGAATTAATCCTGGCTCACTATCTCGAATTTTATTATTGCATTTTGGATTTATAGTTTTGATATCGTCGACATATCACAGATATTAAACGGCGATTTAAGATGTTGATGTAACTTTCATTAGGAGAGATAAAATGAATATTTATTAATCAGAAACGAAAAAGAAGCTTAAAGATAAAAGAAATCAACGTTCGTTTGTTATCATGGAATGTCGATTTCAATTACGACAATTACAATCGTCATAATTGGATATATCATCGTTAATTAGCTTCTAATTGCACATTACGTCTCGTTTCGACGTTATGTAGGTACTGAGCAATGGTAGCAACATATCAAGAAGCCTCGCTCCGACAACCACCACAATTACTCAACAGCAACCCGTCTATCAGCAACAGCAGCAGCAGCAACAACAGCAACAGAATCAAGCAACTGCTCAATACGAGGAGGACATGGGATACAGGTACGTTTCGTTCCTTTTCTTTTCTTTTTGCTTTCAATTTGCAGCGTGACTATTATCTCGGTATTGCAATTATTTCTTGTCACGAAATATGATACGGCGTGCACAACGTCCATTCGACGCCATGCTTTCGAGCGAAACAAAGATGACCTTGTTTCTTTCTGTTTGAAATGTTTTTTTAAATGCAACAAATCGCTGTAGAGATATACGAGGCAGTTTTGATACACGTGATGTCACGATCATTATATAGGACGCGATATAAAAACACGCGAGAAGCTTATAGGAGGACAACTTACTTTACGGCTGTAGGACCATTTCAGTTTCTTCATCATTCATATAAAGTGAGTCACACATCTGTCCTGGCTGATTGCAGTCAAGGTCGTAACGCGCGGATCTCCTTGTCCCTGAGCCATCTGCCTACAGGAGGCCAGACGGCCCTGCCCGTAGGCTCAGCCATCACAACCCCCGAACATCATACGACCGTTAGTGGTGCTGTTGGCACCGTTATTCAAATGGGCTGTGCGCGTGGCTCACCGAGCGATGGACACTCGAGGTGATCTTCTCGTTCTTTTAACCCTTAATAACCTGAATTTTTTAAATTATGCAATCAAAATATCTCTGTCTGCAACATGCAACATTTGCTAAGTAACGTAAAGCAAAATAGTATATAGTAATATCTATCAACAAGTGTTTTTAAATCTAGTGGGACATCTCTCTTTAGACAAATTTTTTAAAATATATCTACAAGTTATTAATTTCATATTATTGATATATACCAGTGTTAGGTTAATATGGGTTAAAGGCCACGCAGATCTATCTAGGGATCGCCTGATTTCCCATAGTGACACTGCGTGCATTAACCACGTTAGAATAATCATTATGTCCATCGTTTTGTCCTTGCAGTCTCATTTCTTCTTTCCCTTTCTTCGTATAGTTCCCGAGAAGATGTTGCCATTTAGTGATTAATCAATCGATTTTTGTCCCTTCTCTTTTTTTCCATCCTTTCTCTTTCGTATAATGAATCTAGATACTAATTCTAGCTACTGTGAAAACAAGAATCGGAAAGATATTAACGCGACATCGAAAATAAAATTGCAGAGACGAAGCGACCAAATTCGTTTCGTCTCTGTTACACCCTGTAACTCTTAAGATAATTCGAATACATTGCGCGACCAAGCTCAACATTTTTTTCTCCGACTTCATAGATCCTCATTACAAAATTTAGGGCCTTGACAAATTCGATATGTGAAACGGTTATTGAATAAGCATCGACCTAAATACATAAACTTGTTAGGGATAAAAAAAATTAGTTACGCAGCTATATTAGGTTGTTCCTCACGAAAAATATGCGTTATTTGATGAAAATATAATAGATAATCTTCTTTAGTTCCTCGATTTATATAAATTGATATCAATTTTTACAATAAATGTGTTACAATAATTTAATATTTAGGATAAATATATTTTAATATCCCTAAAATATACTTGTAGCGAAATAGAAAATAGTCTTTGTGACACAGTATTGTTTTAGCATGTTAACGTGCAACATTAAATTTACTTTGTGCGTTTATATCATTTTTTTGTGTAAATGTTGGAAAATATTTATTAAATTAGTTAAAGAAAATTTTAGGTACAATATATATATATATTATTTATATCTAGGATTATATATAGGTGACCGATTATGTGTCCATTATATTAGTTGGCTGGCCTTGCTATGCTTTGCACTAACGATACATTCAGTATCGATAAAATATCATGTTATAATTAACTTTCCAATTTCTATCTGTGCAGAACCATGACCAGAGAAGATGTAGCAATAATTCAGGAACGCAGAATGTCCCAGCAGAGCCAAGGTATTTCTTTTGTTAATACAATAACTATCATGCATATAAAATATAATGGGCGCATACGTGTGCAAAGATTGCCTAAACGTATCTGGATTATATGAGTCATTTTAGAGGAAATGTTAAAATTACATGTAAATTATATATGTATGTAAGCAATTTACAGATAAAATTTCTTTATAGCAACTGGAAGTCCCAATCCTATATCACCGAGTTGCCCGCCTACTGCACAACAACAGCAGCAGCAGCAGCAGCAGCAGCAGCAGCAGCAGCAGCAGCAGCAGCAACAACAACAACAACAGCAACAACAACAACAACAACAACAACAATCTGGTCACCATCGAACTTCATCAGCACCGCCGGCACCGCAGCCACCGCAACAACAGCAAACAGCATTACAAACTATGCAAGGCGGTATAGCATCAACTATTACGCAAATATCAGCTGGACCGGGAGGTCCTCCGGTACCGCCGCCCCAACCGCCAATCGCACCTCCCGCTCCACCATGCCCGCCAACGATAATGAACTTTAACTCGTCTGCGGCACCAGCACCACCGATGATGATGAATCAGTACGCACAATCGCCGTCGTCCCAGTCGAATCTTGCAAATCAACAATCCCAATCTATTTACGTTACTAATCAGGCAAATCAGTATGGTGCCGCGTCTACAAGCAATCAGTACGCAAGTGCTGCTGTTGCCAACAGTGGTGGCGGCACTGGAGGCAGTGCAATCACCGTTGTGGGTCAGAGCCCGAATCAATTTCCGCCGTCCGGCAGTCAGAACAATTTTTACGGTACTAACAATCAGACAAGTAATTACACTACCGGCGGACAAGTTAATACAGGCCAATACAGCCAATCAGTTGGCAATCAAGCCACGCAATATGGTGGCGGAGGTAATCAGTATGGAAGTAATAACTCGATAAATCAGTATGCTGCCGGTCCGCTACCCGGTCCGACAAGTCAATACGCAGTTGCGCAATCCAGCCAATCGCAATATGGTACCAATATCGTGTCTCAGGCGCAAGCACAATACGGTAGTACCGGCCAGGTACAAGCGGCCACTACAGGTACCACAAATCCATATGGAACACCATCAACTTCGGTAAATCAATACGTTACCAGTGGACACCATACGATGGTTAGCGGCAACACTTATGCTCCTATTGTTAGTGGCGGACCTCCGCCACCTCCGATGGTATCCCTGGTCGGAGCTGCCGCACCACCTCCACCACCACCGCCACCTGTACCTAACACTAACAGTTCCGCCACTGCCGTCTCCGGTTCATCCATCAGTTCTTCGAATGATCCTCCACCTGACACCAACTCGTTAGCCGCTGCCCTTCAAGCACGTCTTAAGAAGAAACAGGTAAATCTTTTTTCTTTTTTTTCTTTTTTTTTTATTTTAATCTTCTAATAGAATTGTCACTTATCACGTGCTGCAGAAAGGGGAAGTGATTTTATTTTAAATTGACATATTTCACATGTACGAAAATAAAAACACGCAAGTAGAATAATAAAAGTTTATTCACCAACGGTGATATCTTTTTATCAATAGCAACAATCACAGCCAGTAGAGAACAGTGGTTCGAGCACCAGCAGTAGTAGTAGCAACTATGGTACTTTAGGACGGGGTGGAGGCAGCGGAATGGCTTCCATGATGGATGAGATGGCCAAAACTCTGGCACGTCGACGGGCTGCTGCCGAAAAAAAACAACCCGAACAACCACCGGTACATAAATATCTATTACTCAGATAACAATTCGTAAAGGCTCATATTGCTCTTACGTCATGGATGCAAGAATATCATCACATCACTCTCACAACGTGATGAGGGCACAAATGCGAACGTAAAAGATGTCACTGTACAATCACGCGTGATGGAGCATCTTATGCGAATGTAAAATATTGCACAATGCAATCACACGTGATAGGGGTATAAATGAAGGCATATAAAAGTCACACTTTGCCGTATTATATGATTATAATATATACATATATCATGTAGTATATGTGTTTATATGTATATGTAAATTCGAAATTTTTATAAAATTTAAAAAATGTCAAAAATAAGGTTTCGGGAGGTTTTCATATTTTTCAATGTTTTCAAAATTTTGATAATTTCCAAATTTTTTAAGTTTTCCAAATTTTGAAAAATGTCGAAACAATCAAAATTTTCTATATTTTTTAAAATTTTTAAATTTTCGGAAATATAATAAATGTCAAAATTATCGAAATTATCAAAAATTTACCAAACATGATTGATCTTGTTTTTTTACATAATTCTTAAAATATGTTGATTAGATATAGAAACGTACAATTTATAGATCGCGTATAAGCGATATAAAATACTTTTATTGCTTATTAATGCATGCGAGCGATATGAGTTTAGAGTCTCATATGATGACGCATCTGTCGGGTGCCGTGAGCATACTATCCGCACGGCGTGCGTGCTCCGTGAACTTACTGTGTGCGCATTTTGTTATCTGAGTATGTAACTACAACATTTAAAAATCAAGACATAGAAATACAGGCGAGAAAAAGAGAAAAGGAGAAATAAAGGAAAAAACTAATCCAATAATTTTTTTTTACAGGAACCGGAAAGTTCACCAGACAAGAAGTCTTGGGATAAGAATAATGCGTCGAATAATAAATTCTCTAATGGCGCCGAGTCACCAAAATCAGTACGCAAGAGATTTGGTTCGGCCTCGGAGGACACCCTTCTCAAAGTAAATGGAGTTAATGATGGGACTTCACTGACTGCGCAAGAGATGGAGGCCTTCAAAGTGGAAATAATTAAAGAAGTGCGGAAAGAGTTTCAGAAGATGAAGCAAGAAATTATCGATGGTATGTTGTTATAATTGTGTAAGTTCTTTGATGATTATCAGATGTTGATGCAAAAGTTTTTACTTTATATGAGATCTTTTATTTTCAGCTGTAAGAACAGAACTGAACAAAAGATAAAGAAGACGATAAAAAAAAAGATAAATAACACAAAATCGAACTGTCAAAGCCAGAAGGAATGAGACAAAAGTTAAGGAGAGTTGTGTGACTAGATTGCTCGATATCGAACATTTTTAAAAACCACGTATGATTTTTAGAATATATTTACAAGAATGTAAATATATGGTTACATTCATACATGTCGGACATTTACGTGTAAGTAAATTAATCTTAGTGTCTTAAGTGGGGCCGTAATCTTTTCGTTATTTACTATACGATGAATAATTGTAAACGAAACGTAATCGTAACGAAACGTTGAATCAATTGAGTTTCATTTATTTTAGTTTACGGGAGAATCGATTTTTTTACACAAAGGATAACCTCTTTTGTAGATTCTGAGCGAGAGAAATATACTTCAATGAGAATATGTAAAATAAATGCACGCACAATGAAATATACTATTATATTGCTTCGTAGTTTAAAGGGATATCGATAAAGACCAAAAATGGTGTACTATTTATAATATAAATAATATCAATTTCTATACATAAATATCTACAATAATCTTTCATCTCTCCCCCTCCCTTCCTTCCTCGCCCTCTCTTTTCCCCTCCCTTCTTCTCGCTCTCTTCCTCTCTTTTTGCTTCTCTGTTCCTTGCTTTTCTCCCTTCTTCTTTCTTCTCTTTTTCTCTTAAAAAATTTATACTATTAATAAGACCGATTAAATGAACAATTTTATAATTAAGATTAATATTAATCGACTCAAAACTTTTTCTTTATTGACGCTTTCAACATGAAAATTTAACTGCTAAGAAACTCAATTATTTCAACGTTCAAGTTACACATCATATATTTTTTATTGCGTATTCTTAGACAAGCTTTCTTTTATATTCTGAGACATTCTTTTATATACGAACGATCTCATCATAGAACATTCTGTAGAATTCTTCCGTCAATGACGTGGCATATGTTTTCTCTGCATTTTTATTTTTATCTATATTATTTCGTTGATGCGCGATGTCATACCGCAATCTTAATTTTTGTAAAGTACATTACGTTGTCGATTTCTATTCCGATGCGAATCGATTCTTGAAAATTTAGGAAGCGAATACATTCCAAGAAACGCACCTCGTTCCCCGATATTGCTAATCTCTTAGACACATTGAACATTGTAAATAGCAATAATGACGATAGACGGATGCCACGATCGTTGATTGTGAATTTCTCATTGCGCTTAAACGATATATAGTAAGAAATCTTCATGTTAATCCATTTATCAAGTATCTAAATTTCGATTCACGTTTAACACATGTTTTATATGACGAGTTCTTCTTCAAAAAAATTATTGTTGTACATTGAGATATCGTACATTTTCACAAAGATATTCTTCAGTTGGATGAAAAATGTCTTGAAATTCTGAATTTATAATTATAATTTCATAACTTTTTGTATGATTAATAACGATTTCTAACCAACTTATTTTCAAAGAATACTTTTGTTTAAAGAATTTGATTTACTCGCATGCAAAATACATTTGTTGTTAAACATTTATGTGATAAGTAGCTTGCTTTTTGTATTATCTCTCTCTCTTTCTCGAGGCTGTTTACTTTATTTTACACTCTCGACACATATGTTATCGCGATTAAATTGTTACAAAGAGCCCTAATTTTTATTCGATTAATTTAATAATTGAAATGCAATATCCAATAATTACATTTGATTTATTCTCTACTATTATGATCGCGAATGATTTTCTTACTAAATCAGAATATAAACAAAGGCGAGCCAAAGTTACATGACAATGCTAAAATATATTTTAATAAATATTAATACTTTCAAAATTCCAACACGCAACACAAACATTTCTTCATTATCATCTTCAGGGCGACAACAATAAAAACAATTTAATAAAACGTTTCAACACATGTCAAATTGATTTTATTACTTTTTGATATTGATAACGTATTACTATTTTGTCAAAAAACCGTGCAGATACGCTACAAATTACCGATTATTGGCAAACATTCGTGAAAAATCATGCTATCAATAAAAACCGATCAAATTAGTAATTAAAAGAATTTTTTTCTTCGAGATAAATCTACGTGTGTGCGTGTGCCCACACGTGCGTGCGTGTGTGTGTGTGTGTGTGTGTGTGGTGTATATGTATATGTATATATATATATATATATATGTATATGTATATGTATGTATATGTATATGTATGTATATGTATATGTATGTATATGTATATGTATGTATATGTATGTATATGTATATGTATGTATATGTATGTATATGTATATGTATGTATATGTATGTATATGTATATGTATGTATATGTATGTATATGTATATGTACGTATATGTATGTATATGTATGTATATGTATGTATATGTATATATATGTATATGTATGTATGATATACACAATTAATTGTAACATGTATCAGAAAAAAATACCTTTTATCAAATGATGACATATATTATATGTATATTTGTTATTTAATAAAAAATATTTTTTTCTGATACAAATTACAAAATTTATTGTTAGATAAAAAAAAAGAACAATCTTTTGTGACACAGTTTAACGTTTATCAGAGAGAAGATTGTTTTACATGCGAGAAATCTGTTTGTACATTGCCCTTTTGTTTGATACCAAACATATTGTCAATTTTTAATAAGTGTTTGATTAATGTCCGGCAAACGTTTAATCACAAGTAATGTAGAATAAATGCATGTATATCTTGCATGTATGCACGTATGCATGTATGCATGTATGCATGTATGTATATGTGCGTGTATTCATTTTTTAACTCATAAAACTCATTTGTACGTAAGTTTTTCGTTGGTAATCGTTCACCAATTCATATAATTTTGAAGGCTGAATTTTATACGATATTTTATTACGTAACGCTTTACCTACACTTCATCATATTAACACGCTACAATAAGCATAATCATAAAAATTTTCAATAATCATTCCGAAAATTAGATGAAAGATGATTTCTAGTCGAATTATCAAAATAAGAGAGAATTTCGTGAGGAAAAATATATCACGATTTTGATAACAAGCGTTGGTAAAACTTATCTTTGATATATAAATGTCGCATGGCTTATTATTTATGTTTTATCGATTATTACTTTTTCTTATCTTTCACTTAAATATTGATTATAATCTTAATAACAAAGCGTGACACGCATGTGAAATATTTAACATTTATTTCTTTTCTGTACTTTTGCAAGATTCGTATCGACGCATTGTCGATACGTTGCCGAGACGCATCGTATGCGAATATTCCGATCGATAATCGAGAGACGCGTGTGCAAATAAACGTGAGTGCGCAATTTTACGTCTTTTTGACTATTTGACTATTAAGATATACATCTTTTCTTTTTTCTTCTTTATTCCTTGACACGTTCTTTTCCGTCCTTTTTTACTGTATATTTTTCCTATATTCCATCACCTTTGTACATATATTATAAATTCATATGGTGTGGATCTTCCAGTATGATGTGTATTTATTTTACTTGTTTCTTTTCTTCTTTATTTTTTTTTAATAACGATATCGCTGTCAACGTGTGAGAGAGGGGTAAAATGTGAAAATATTAACACGTATGACAAGATCTTTTGTGAAAGTTCCTTTAGCCTTTAACATTAGAGCTCGTTCTCTTGTGGTATATCCTGTACTTTTCTTTTCATCCTTGACATTTTGCTCTTCTCTTTGTTCCTTCCCTTTGCTTCTTCTCTTCTATGTAGAATTTTTTGACGTTAATTTACTTTTTATTTTAATGACAGAATCTATCGAATTTTGAGATAATTTTCCTCAATTTCAAAGAAACT